CCCCTCATACCCGCCACTTAAGCACCCTGGCCCCAGTCTGCCTCCCCCATCAATCTCCCCCCACATGTGCACCGCTCCTTCCCCCCAGCAGACCACCCCTTACCCTGTTTCAGCCCATCCTCTACCATCCCTCAGAATGAGCACCACAGCTTACCATCCCCCCACGTCCCCTACCACTCCCTGCTACCCCCATATCCCAGGTGTACCACCACCTGCCCCAGGGATGACCTACATTCTAGGTCTCTGCTTTGCCCTTCATAGCACTCTGCAAGAATGCTGTAACTCACTTCCAGGTCCCCCTCAACAGGTGCCGCCACCACCCAGGGTCACATTTAGTGCACATGCAGCATCGCTCCTGGCAGATCGCAGCATCCTGCCCAGGATGCACCAAACGTCCTCCACCAGCTGTGTTCTACATCAGGGATATTAGATGACCTGGCACAAGCTCACCAACCCAGTCAGAGTCCCTGTAGCTCCAGATTTCCCAGAAAAACTCATGTCTCTCTGGCTGACTTCTTACCGCTTATGTGCCATCCAATCAGGGCCCAATACCTTGTTGATTAAAGCATTGCAGGGCCACACAAAGATCACAGTTTCAGTCAGACAACACACCCAGCCCTTGCTTGCTGCCCGCCAGACGGAGTGACGAGTTCACCGAACCTTCGGGTCAGAGGCATTCTCTTTGACTATCCCTTTTAGCCCTCCCTACGCTACCATGGCCCTGCCATCTTCCCCAGGGAAGGCCAGGACTTACAACTAACTCAGGACAGCAACGTGGCAGTGCCTAGTACTCGCCAGTCACCACTAGAAGCTGTTAAATGCGGTGCATTCCCCTGCCCAGCTGCAGTGGATAGCAGCCCAGCAGGACTAGTCTGGGAAGCTTCATTCCCCACAGTCTCAGAGCTTCCAGACACTCCCTTGAATACCCCACCTCCAGCCCGTGGTCTCGGGAATGCACCGCGCAGATCTCGATGGTGTGCAGCTCCTCCAGGGTCAGCTGCCTGGCGTAGAAGTGGGCCACCACGCGATGTGGCCCCTCTGTCAGGTGCGAGCACAGATAATCAGCTTCCGTCAGGCGCACACAGCCCAAACCCAAGCCCAGCACCCGATTCAGACCATCCTCCAGGGACCAGTAACGGCGATCCACGAACCCCCCGGGAAAGCCCAGTAGTCCGTCAAATCGCATCTGCATCTGCAATAGAGGCGCATCACATTAATGGGGCACAGTACATAGCCCCAGGGACCCTGTGGGAGAGGAGAGGGTACCCCCAGCCAAGAGCTGGACACCCACCACACAGGAAACCTCTCCAAGACAAAGGGGTCAAAACAAGCAAGGCACAAGACAGTCTGTACCCTAATCAGAGAGGTCTGAGGCTTCACTGTACCCCTCTTCCATACCCCATTAGCTTCAGCACAATCTTAGCTTCTTTTTCTTTACAAAGGCAATTAAAAAAACCTAGAACATGACCCCATTCAAAACTGACCCAATTTTTGCACCTGGGTGGTATGAACTCACTAGGAAATAAGTGCAGTCCACTGCAATCATTTTTATCAGAAAATCCTGCTGCCCTTAGTATTTGAACAGTCTGATACCATCAGTTTTGCCAACCCCCTCTAGTTTTTGCCTAGTGGTACCGCCTGGAAGCCCAGACCTACTTCTCTGCAGGATGAAGCTGAGCCTCAAGTTGGTTGCCTTCTGGAGAGAGACCCATAGAATGAGTATACAGCAGTGGGAAATGCTGATACCTCAATACCATGCCATATGGAGAACCCATCAGACTGTTGGAGGGTGGTGACTTGCAAGCAGTCTTGACAAGTGCACCGGACACACAGCAGCTAAGCACCAAGCCTACCAACCAGAGATGCACAGAAAAGACAGCCACTGGTGAGTTCAAGGGGGAATGTTTAGTCCCCTCCCGCTCCTAACTAGTCTCTAGGAGTCAGTGTCAGGTTCAGAGCTGCATGTTTTGGATTCGCCCCAGCTAGTGGATGGCTGAAAAATCTGAAGCTCCATCCTCTCGCCTCCTGGAAAGATTTTTTCCTGCTGCTCTGCCCCTCCCTTATATTTGGACGTGCACCCTTCCCAGTGATTAGCTCCAGGCTCTGCTCAGCTCTCTCTCAAGGTGCAGCAGAATGAAACAGACGCAACTCGTCACTTTAACACACACCCCAACCTACAGGGCAGTGTAGAGCAGCAACAAACCTGCCAGTCTTGTACAGCAGAGCCCTGTAGGACCAGGGAGACAATGGAACACCCCATCTTCAAACTCAGGCAGAATTGTGGAGGTCCATGTTATGAAGCCTGCCTCAAAGCCATAAGGGCTGGAAGCAACATGCATGTAACTATACACAGACAGACAGACACACACACACACCCCACGCCCTCTTGCTATGGGCTAAAGGGTCTCTTCTGCAGCAGCTGCCAGCAAAGAATCCACTGGCCCAGGGTGACCCTCCTAAGTGCACAACATGAGCTGGGAGAACTAGTGGTGTGCACGGGACGGGGCCTAGCTCCTGCGGGTAGCTCATGGCCTGCTAGGGTGGCCTGGCAGGGAGACGGAGCCG